TTCAAGATACGTGCCAGCCGTTTGTCCCACGGACTCTGTTGTTATGCTTGACTTTGGGACGGGCATGGGCGTGGGCTGCAGGGCTTGGCCGCAAGATCGGGCTCGCGCAACAGCTAGCCGGCTGCCCCATCTCCGTCGCTTAAGGCCGTGCGTGGGCGCAGCCATGTTTTGTGATTGCTGCCAGGCTGCAGATTTATCCAGACAATGAAGCAGGAACTGTGTCCCCTTCAGGTTCTTCTGGTCACTCTGATATGTCCGATTGCTCGCAACACTAATTCCTGTGCGCTTTCTTGTAAGATCTGTCAGTTCTCAGTATACTCATCAGGATGCTGATTTGCTTGTGGCCCCTTCCATGAATGCTCATCTGCAGTGGAGGATACTACGTATTCTGGCATATTCTGCGAGCTCTGACTTTACAGCTGAAGATAGCATGTGCTGCAATTGCCATACCACGATATCGGGCCTTGGTCTGTTTTGCCACAAGCTTTGGGCTATCGGATCTGCCATCGCCACGAGCCTCCCATGTTCTGGCACAAGGTTCCTTTAAGGTTTAGCGCTCACCAGGCGAGTCCGATGCCCCTCAAAACGCAGTAAACCCTAAACTTCCTCAGCACTACACCTCAGACCCTAAATCCAAAAGACAGTTTGAAGTATCAAAGCCTCGAAAGAACCAGAAACCCCGAAGTTTTCGTAAAGCAAGCTTTAAAAATCAGCAATATTCCTTCATAAGCTTCCTTGATATAGCTATCCCCCAAACCCTATCACAATTCTTATGGCCAGACAAACCTCCAAAACCTAAAGTAAAGTCCACAGCACTGAGCTTCCGAAGTCGCAACCCTTTGATCCTTACACCTTTAATCCGTAATTCAGGTGCCGGGCGAGCTCCAATCAAGCCTGTGTATAAAAGTGTTGAGAACTTAGTGCTACCAACTGAGAAGAGTATAACAATCCTGTTGATTGCTCTAGTTTCTTATTCTACCTCGAAAGCCATGCGCTCGAGCCCAGCAGCACTAAGGCTGTGCGGAAAACGAAGCTGCCCTTGAAATGGGCATCGACGAGAAGAGGGTCCCCTTCTGCCAGATTTCAGGGTTTGAGGTTTAGGGCGTTTAGGGCTCTGTCGATTTCAGGGCTCTAGCATAGGGCTCCTCCATAAAGGGTTAGAGTTTAGGGTTTGGGGATTTTAGGGCTCTAGTATAGGGCTCCTCCATAAAGGGTTCTTGTAAGGAGCTCCTACGAGGACCGATGGTGAGGCCTGGTTGGTTGTCCTTGCAGCACAACCCTGCTTGTGTTTAGTATGGGCCCTTAATAATCGCCTGCCCATACTATTTTGGGGGGTTCCTTATTATGATTAGAGTATAGTATACCCCAAAACCTTCGTCTAATTATCAAGGCCCCTATATAAGGTGTTGGGCCTACAATCAGTCTGGGCTGAGTGATTTGGATCCCAGGCCCTAGACCCTGAAGGGTTCAGGTTTGTCGGCCCGGCACCCTAAGCCCGAACCCTGGAGCCCAAGTTTGGGTTTAGGGTTTAGGGTTTAGGGTTTGAGGTTCTTCAGATTTGCGATTTGTAGAGTGGTTTGGTCTTTGCAGATTCTGCGCATGGAAGGGGCGTTGGGTCAGTCTGCCCTTTGCGCCAGCAAACGGATTGCCAGTGGTTCTTGTTTTCAAGTTTAACACAAGACACAAGTTGCCATGACATTCCACGATTCACACTGGAACTTTACTCTCTAGATGCAGAATGTGCCGCAACAGCCTGTTTCAGGATGGAAAAATGCTTACTCAACCTAAACCCTAAACCCCTAAACCAAATTGACCCTCCACCGTTTATGGCTGCAGATCTCTCCCATGGATGTCATCGAGTCCCATCCTGGTAACTATGTCTATGATGTGATGCCTTGGCTTGTATCAGACCTGTTTTTGGGCTCTGGGGTTTAGGGTTCGGCTTGTATCAGACCTGTTGTTGGGCTCTACGGTTTAGGGTTTAGGGTTTAGGGTTTGGCTTGTATCAGACCTGTTTTTGGCTCTAGGGTTTAGGGTTTAGGGTTTAGGGTTTGGCTTGTATCAGGCCTGTTTTTGGGCTCAAGGGTTTAGGGTTTAGAGTTTAGGGTTTGGTTTGTATCAGACTTGCTTTTGGGCTCTAGGGTTTAGGGTTTAGGGTTTAGGGTTTGGCTTGTATCAGACCTGTTTTTGGGCTGTAGGGTTTAGGGTTTAGAAGCTCTACCCCGCGAAGTTATTTGAGTTTACTCTACCCAAGCACTTGCTTGCAGATACGCCTGCTGTCTCCGACTCGGAGACTCCAGTCACATTTGTGCACGATGCTTTAAAACTGGCCGTAGTCACAAATTTTTGCTGCAACTTCTGACCGTACATGATCGGATACTGCAGCATACACAGGTACATAGTACAGACACGTGCATAAGTGCCAGGTGTCCACATGCTTGTGTAAAGTACCAGCATCTCCTGACATCTCAAAGTACATCACAGAAAGAATGCATTCAAGGTACGTCCACTAGCTATGCACTTTTTGGGAAGAAACATTAAAGATATCATGCAATGGTCATAATGTTGCTTTCGTGGCTGGCTCTTGTAGGAAGGCCCGCAGAGATGCAACTAACAGACTGGCCTTTAGACTTGGGAGCATCCATCCCTGGACAGCTAAGGAAGTTGAAATGTCCTCTGGACAATTTGATGGAGGTGTGGCTGCAAAGGGCTGAGGGTTCGGGAATTTGGGAGACAGTTTCTGTGCTGAGGCAGCGCTTGGCCAAATGTCTGAGAAATCTTGCAAACCCCTAACCCCATGCCAACCCTGAAGCTTGGAAGGGTGTTACTCCAAAGGCCTTTACCCCTGAGATTTGAAGACAGAAAACTTTCGGACCCTCGCCAAGACCGAGAAACGAGGTCTTGAACCCTGGTTTCCTAGACCCTGAGATCCAGTTTGTCTCCTGACTTTACCATGTGTGCTACCCGTCGCCAGCATGGCAGCAGACGTGCGGACACGAGCAGACGTGCATGCCCGGTAATGTAGGGGCCTAAATACTTACCTATACCATTTTTGGTGGTTCCTTATTATTATTATTATTATAGTATAGTGGGCCCCAAAACATTATTCCAATTATCAACGGCCCTTTTCTACCCCTGAGCTCCCCTTTCAGGCGCTGGACACCGCTGACACGGAGCTCACCATCATTGGCGACGTGCGCGGCAGCTGCTGAGCTCATGTCGCGTTGAAACTGGCAAACGTGTTCAATGCACGGACAGGTAGATGAAGAAGTAATCGGTCGCTCTCCCGCTCGCTTCCTCTCCACCGCCATTCCCTCTCTACCTTCCTACCTTCCTCTCACTCATGCCCTCTCTTGTTGGATCTCTTGGTCTCACTCCCTCTTTCTCTCTTTGGTTTTGTCGGATCGAACGGCCCTGCTCGTCTCTGCATACTGCCATAGCAAAGGGTCGACTACAAAACTCATCGGTTTGCCGACTTCGCACGGTCTGTACCCAGAGAGCCCAAGTCCTTGCAGCTACGAAATATATCATACATGTTGTTTAAGAACCCCTGTGACATACAGGATAGTGGTTGTTGAATATGTCGGTCTCGGTCGATAGCCCATCCCGACAAGTGTTGTTCGAATCTCGAGTGGGAATGGATGGAGAGGCACGCAGTGCTAATCACCCGTGCCCTGAAAGAAGCGTTTTCGGGTTTGGGGCTACCCAGTTGATTCCCTTGATAAAGTCCATCGACAAGCACATCTTGGTCTTTGCACGCACACAGCCTCAACACGCAGGCGCTGGGTAGAGAGTAAAGATTTAGCCAGCGGCAACAAAACTGCTTTCTCCATCAGTCCAGCCTAAGCCTTCGAATCCCTAAACCCTTAACCTTGCCAGGCTTGTCCGAGTGTGAGTGTCAAACCCTTAACCCCTTAGCTTTCCAGTCAACATCGCATGAAGCATAATCCGAGGAGGCCCAGGCAAATCCGGGCAATCTAGAAGCTTGAGTAGTTACCAATGCTATTCCTTCGGGTTCCTTCTTGTATGTATGGTATGCTAGACGCCCAAACCCTATTCAAATTATTGAGGCCGCACCCAACGCCAAACCCCAAACCGCAAGAGCCGTAGTTAGCCGCCAAGTCTTGCTCGCAGGCGTCGTCTCCGACTGGAATGCCCCTTGGTTTTGACATGTCTTGAAGGTGCAGCAGGTTCTGAGGGCTGAGAGGTTTCAAGTTTAGCGTTAAGGTTGTAGCGCCTAGGGCTTCGGGTGTAAGCAGACTTTCAAGAGTTTGGGCATCAGGCGCGCCTGTAAAAAAAACCATGTACGCCCACAGACGTGGAGCTTTGGTTCGACCTGTCGCGCCTCAACATTTCAACGAGCCAAGACTAGGCCACGTTTTGGGAGCAGCTTCGGAGGTCTTAAAGTCTTAGATGCATTTTCGGTTAGTGTTCTTTTGTCAGGGTCGCTTCTCGATGTTTGCACAGGTTGGAGAGTGTCTACGGCTGATCCTCTCATTCAAGTGCTTTATTGGCCCTACCTACACACAACAGTTCGATCAGCTTTTACATCGAGTAGAAGGTTCACGGTCGTGGGCTATGATGTTTAGGTTGGCATCTGCACTAAAGGCCTCCCTCCAAGAAAGGGGTTTAGCAGGTCTTGCACATGGCCTGGGCCCTGCATGGGTCCTGCTACTGATGGACAAACTCCGGCAGTATCCACGATGAGGAATATTACATGACTTTTTTGTGTCTTGGGATATGTATCGTAGTGCAGAGTTCTGGCCACCAGCAGAAGGTAGCTTGCAGAACTGTGAAGCAAACCCTGAACCCTCAGGCACTAGGTTAAGGGTTTAGCCTTCTTGGGACCAGAGGCCGCGAACAATCATTCCTAAAATATGATGGTCCTGAATATGCCCTTAGCTCCTGCGCTGCAACCCTAACGTTAACTGGATGCCCTAAACCCTCAGCCCTAAATCCAAAGCTGTGAGGAGAACAATCCTCCGAGCAGACAGATCGGGATGTACGACCGAATCGTAAAAGTCGATGGTGTGCAGTGCCCAGGACCGGTGTGCATGAACAAATGAAATTGGATATAGTGACAAATGTCATTTCGCCCAGCTCATCTGAATGCATGACGTGGCCTCAAAATGCTTCTAAATTGAGGGAAACAAAGTTCAGACAGATAGGTGCGGTGCCTAGGTATCCATCGTACGCACATGAGAGAAGAAGGTAGTCGCCATGTTAAGGAACATCTTGTTTCGGAAACCCACTCCACGAGCCATGACAATTCCTCGGAGTGCATCATGCAACTAGCCAAATAGTTACCTTTCAAAAATTCATCAGGAATCGCAGTACCAAGTGGAATGTTAAGCTCACTCTCACAAGCTGGTCTTTGAGCCCCTGCAGGAACGAAAGAGGTTGTCAAGCTCCTTACTGACAAGGCCACATGGACAGCGACTGAGGGCTCAGGTGCAGAACTGTCAGCCCATGCCTGAAACTCCAGCATTTGCAAAACCCACTCGTCGAACGTGAAGCCTCCCGAAGACAAACCCCAATCACGGAGCCCGTACACTCTCCGAACAGCACCTTGTTTGTGCTTTGGGAAGACCAAGTGAGTGCAGTAGCACCTTGGCCGCCGGTTAGAGAAGACGGTTTTATGTAGTTGTTCATGTTTGTGTTCCTGATCATCCTCACGATGTTCGTTGGATCTCCTAGTTAACAGGTCCACGGCCACAAAGGCATCTGAGACGACATGCGACGTCAAAACTCGTATTACTGCTTGTGCAATGTTGCTGTTGTTTCACCTGGGGGTCTCGGTACTGATCCTGGTCGCATCAGAACTGCCCGCTTTTTCTGGCAGCTAGCAGTGCTACCACCACTGCTTGCTGCAAGTACAGCGAGTCAACTGCTACGGTTGGTAGCATCCGGATCGCAACTGCCGTGGCCCCTGCACGACGATTAGTTGCATTCCCACTTTGACCGACGATCGAACAACCACAAGAAGAGCATGATACCCCGAAGTCTAAATCCCAAACCCTCTTGCGATAAATGAAGGTGTATGCCTCAGTTATGGGGACAACCTCCGCAGGTGGAAAGACGTGTCGAAAAAAAGCTTAGGCCCTGTACCCTCCTCTGATTTCAGATCGCGTCTGGTGTGCCGATCACCTTCCAGCGGCCACAGGAGCAGATGCCTCGGCAGACATGTGAGAGCTACAAGGGCTCTAGAAGGGTCAATATTTGATGTAGGATTAAATGGGGTTTCAGTGTTTGGGGTTTAAGGGGCTTGCCTTTCAGAGTTTAGGGATTTAAGGTTCTTAGTGCGCTAATAGTGAACACGAGCGGTTCAGTGTGTCCAGGCGAGCCTGCTGCAAAAAGGGATTTAGGATTTCGAGACATCAGGGTTTCGGAAAATGCTCTCTCCCGTCACAGGCCTCGGCCTCAGCACGGAGACATCGGGGTTTCAGGGCATTTGTTTGGGGGTTCCTTATTCATCATGTAAAACATGCCTCGAAGCCCTATTCACATGATCAGACCTTGTATTAGGCCCCAAACTTCAATCCCGGTTTGGGTTTTGGTTTTTGCAGTTCGGCAATTAGAACCTTTGGGCTTCGGGTGTCGGTAGTTGTCAGGATCTGCGTCCGACGATTGCTGTGGATCAGGAAGTAAGGGACGAAATACAGGCGCTCTTCTGTGTATGGGATCCTTGCTACACCGAGCCGCAAACAGCGTACCCGTGATTTCGGAACAGCCATCAAGTTGGAGTCTTACAGAATGCTTTGAAAGTGCCCCCATGCAGAAAGCAGATTCCTGTAGAGGCTCCGGGGACTTAGTGAGGGGCTTTTGAGTAGGTGTCTGAAGTTTCGGAGTACGCCAAGTAGGAACTTGAAGCCTTGCCAAAACCCGTACACAAATCGCGAAAGCGTCATCCACAAGTTCCTGAGATCGTTGTAAGAGGCTGAGGGCGTAAGCCCTTCAAGCTGAATCCCAACAGACTAAAGCCCTCCTAAACCCTAAACCCGAAACCCTAGGTTTCAGGATTGAAGTTCCAGGATTTGGGGCTTCAGGCAAGCCTGCAACCCTGATCCCCAAACCCGGAATCCAACCGGAAGCGATCGACAGCATAGTAGTATAGTAGTCTTAGTAGCATTAGAGTAGTAGTAGTAGTAGTAGTAGTAGTAGTAGTAGTAGTATTAGTAATAGTAGTATTCGTCGTCGATCGACATCCTGCCCTACACGAGGCGAACGGTGACGGTCGAGCGGACCGCGCCACTTGACACAATCCTGCGACGGCCGCATTTCTTCGTCCACTTGAGACTTGAGTAAGGCGGTGATGCTTTCATGCAGCGGGGTGTTCCTGTATATCACATTGCTTGCTACCTTCAACCTACTTAGTAAGTCCCCTGGGCCTCCGAGTCTGCAGTTGTCTTCTGCCGCTCATTGGCAAGTTTGGTACGGCGTTTTCCCTGATTGTCATTGAAGTGCTACTTTTCGATGCAGGAATACTATATGATAACGTTCTCCCGCATCATGCTTAACATCCTTGCGAAGAGCCCAGCCCATCTGAAACCATGTAACCCCGTCATAAACACCCACAAGCTGATAAAGTCCTATGCAAGCCAAAGAACTCCAAAGAACCCCGTTCGTCAGGGGGGCCATTAAGTACGGCTTGGTCGCTATCATAAGGGTAATGATGAATGAAGCGTCGTTGTTCCTTTCCTACGCTGCCATGCCTCTCAATGCTGGGTCCAGGACCAACATCATAGACGCCGTTGGGCCTTGGGAATAGCACTGCTTGTTGGATAAACTGTTGCAACTCCTGCCGGACATGGCAATGCGCAGTATGCATTCCGGGCCATGCACAAATGCCAAGCAATGCTCCATCGTGTGAACATATACAAGCGCATGACATGTTACGAACTTGAAGACAAGATTAACCATGCAAGCAACCATAATGGTCGCTCCAAGGCCACCCAAAAGCTACAGTAAAGAACACACATTTGTTCGCTGAGTCGTTGTTGTTGTTGCTGTTGTCAATAGTGCAGCTGCGTCCATGGCCGCCACTGCCTGCTACGAAAGGACAATGATGGTGGTGGTGGTGGTGGTGGTGGTCCTGATGATGAACAGCACACAGCATAAAGTATCGTCATGACACCAAGCCATTCACCCCTAAAACCTCAAGCTTAACTCAGTAGCCCAGGCGCCTGGGCATGAACTTGAACTACCGGAAGGGTGGCCATTCCAAACCCTGGATCGCCAGCATCGAGGATCGGGGGCGTGGTTTGTGTCCAGGGGCCATCGGGGACCCACCCCTCCCCCCACAACAAAAAAAGGAACTGATGGTCGAGGGCTGTCGCACTTCGATTTTTGCACTCGAGACTTTGAGGTGCTTCTTTGTTTGTAAACTTTGCAAGTTTGCCACGACTCTGCGTCAGGATCCCCAAACCCCAAAGTTTTGAGGGCATAGGGTTTCGGGCTTGTCATACGACAAGAACGGCTCTGCAACAAACACCTGCCGGGTCCATGGTTAGAAGCCTGGGCAAGAGTCCGGCAAAGAGGAGAACTATTTGTTTACCTACATGAGTCCCCGGTGGCATGAGGGGGAACCCAGCAGCTAGCTCCAACCGTAACGTTAGCGGCCGGCGCCAGGAGAGTGCGACTGAACGCTGCCTCATCGACCAGTGGAACAAGGACCACCGATCCTAAAGCCAGCTTCTACCCAGAGCCACATTCCCTTTTTGCAGGAGACCCATATCCTTATGATTGCGCAAAAGTGCAAGCCCTCTAAAAGACTCTAGAACCTTATATCTGATGTAATCCTGCTCATTTCATGGGCCTTGCGGTCCATGGGCAGTATGGCTGGGTGAGTCTTGGCTTAGGCAGCGGCCACGGGCCTGTGGTTTGGCAAGAACAGTCAGAAAGCCATGCACATGGGAGCGTCAGAAAAATGACTGATGGATCAATTCCCCAAACCTCACCCCCCAGCCCCAGAAATTGATTATGGACCGTAGGGCCCTTAGTATGCATAAGGTATCCCTAACTCAACGAAACCTCCACCATGACACTCCCAAGATGGAGGGGTATTCCGAAACTGGAAGCCTTGCGGAGTGTGCTCCGAAAGCCCTTCAATGTGTTGAGGGGGTGGGGGTGGGGTGGGCGGGTACTAAACTTAGGGATCACTCAGTGGAGACCGTTATAACCGAGATCCTGCTATTTGGGGTGAATATTACGATCGCTTCTTCTCTGAAGTTCCCTTCTGGTCTCCCTGGGTCGCCCTGAAAGCCGCAGCAGTCATCTAGCCATCGGGAAACCATGCAATAGACAATTCAATCGAGCCCCACACAAGAGCTCAAAGATGTTGTGCCCGGTGGGTTTAGGGTTTAGGGTTTAACCCTAAACCCTAAACCCTAAACCGTGTGGTCTACTATGCTTGCAGTAGGACCACCCGCATCAGAAAGTGGCTGTCCACGATCGCGTCATCTCCGTGAATGGTCAGACGCTGGCCTCGTCTACTTGCAAATCTGGGGCAATGGTGGCAATAGCAATACCAGCAACAGGAGTATGGTAAAGTTCTGCTCTAATTCTAGTTATAACTATAGCTATATTTATGGTTGTCAAGACATTGGACGATCCCAACCCAGGCGCTTGCAACACCAAGTAAAGCCCAACTGAAGAGAGTTGCTGGGGTTTCATGGACGAGCCTAAGCAGCCTGAGCAGCCTCAGCACTCGCCGCTGCCACTCCTTGCCCATCATGTACCCCGAAAGCTTTTCTTGTTCTCGAAACAGGAACCATGTGTGAATCACTAAGCCCCCTATTTTGGAAAGAGGGCTCGGACGACTATCTCGTTCCGATTTAAGGCCAAGGTTATTGGCCCTGAAAGGTTCTGTTAAGAGCTATTATGTGGGTTTCCTTAAAAGTTCGGATATATGGGGCCTTAACAAGTAGAGTAGGGTTTGGTTGATGTGTGGGGTGCAGGTTCGCTTGGGTTCATGCTCACCACAAAGCTTGAAGGAGTTGTTGATTGGCGTGCGCACCCTAACATGGAAGCTTGAAACGTGCTTACTAAGTTCCTACCTTATAGGGCTGGCTCTTCGTATAGGTATAGCATAACATAGTCCCACACTGTACTCGAATCCAGGGCCCTTACATTAAACCCTGAAGCCTCACAGCCCGATCCCCAGTTTTGTGAGAGCGGATGATGTGAAGCCTGGTACCCTGAAGGAACCCAAGGAAGTCTACAGCCTTCAGGGTTTAGGGTTTAGGGTTTAGGGTTTAGGGTTCAGGGTTTAGGGTTTAGGGTTTAGGGTTCAGGGTTTAGGGTTTAGGGTTTAGGGTTTAGAGGGTTCAGAACCAAGACCCCTGAAGCCCTAAAGCCCAGAATCCTCAACCCCCAACGCTCTGATCTACGCCTCTCAAAAACCCTGGGGCCGAAGCCAAAGTTCCCCAGAGAGCCCAATACCCCTTAATTAAGGAATATACCTTAAATCATAATTTTAAAAGGCCCCTATAATTTAAGGTATAGTCCTTAATTAAGGAATATACCTTAAATCATAATATTCAGGCCCCTATAATTTAAGGTATAGTCCTTAATTAAGGGGTATTGGGCTCTCTGAGTCCCGGGCCCCCTTTTCAAATAGCTGACCTGAGCCGAGGACACTCTCCGCTTCTGAGACAGTTGAAAAGCTCCGCACTGCGTCGGGCACGCTAACAATTAAGCTCGTTCACTTCGAGCTGTGAAAAAGGACGGGGAAAAGTGAAATCCGGAACCCACAACCTCTATCTGAGAAGCTTCAGTGTCTAAAGTTGGGAATTTGGAATCGGAGTGCGTGGTATAAACCTCGACGGAACCGTGCCAGTGCCAACGGGTCTTTCTCGAGGGGCATATCGTGGAAGGCTCATGGATCCCTATATTAATATGTGTTTCAAGATTGTTTGTTGCTTTTTGAAAACCTGTGCGAAAGTGTCGCAGTGCATTGGCAACAGCTTGACATAAGGAAAGCGGTTGATCGCATTCGGACTTTGCACCGAAGTGCTTGACTGGACTGTTGAGGAACGGAATATGCATGCTTATACACCGGAAGCAGCATAAATCGATAGATGGCTCGCTCCCTGATAGGCTGTCGTGAGTAGAAGGAATGTACCGATTGGCGAAGACATGTTACTTAGCAGACTACTCGTGTGCTGACATCAGAATCCGAAGCTTCGAGAATGCTTCTTCAATCAGGCAACACTCGACAGTCTAACCCTGCAAACCCAAAAGCCTTTGTGTGGAATCTTGTACTCTGACGCAACGAAACCGCCAAGACCCTAAGATCCTGGAATTCCATGCCTCAGACTGGAACTGTGTTCACGTGGAGTCTGCACGAACCTGGGTTGGCTAATGCCCAACTGCAGCCTCAGCACCAGAAAAGAAACAAGACTGTCGTACCCTGAAGCATCAGCTTTTCAGGAAGGTGCCATAAATTCCAAAGCCTTTCATCACAATTCGTCAGAAACTATTATAAGCCCCTAAAGCTTACAGAAGTACCACTAACAAATTTTGTCAGCTTTCGGAGTGAACATTCGCCAGTACGCCTCGCCAATGGGCGAGGGTCAGGCAACTGCGATCTGAGCTCACAGCCGACATGCACGGAACAATGCAGGAATCTAACTAGGGAGCGCCTTGCCCCAAAATTCAGGATCTCCAGAAACTCGTTTGAAGCCATCTTGTTACATTACATGAAACATGGGGCTCAGGGTTCATGAACTAGGCTTGCGTGGTTTAGGAGTTCTTGAAGGAGTATGTCCGGTGGCATGTGGAGTCTCTGAGAACAAATGAAATGCCTAGTTTTTGTGGTTGAGGATGTATGACTCAGTCGGGGTTTGAGGTGTGGGACAGTGTCGGAGTTACATTCGGTTCGGGCCTGCGCGCGAACAGTTAAACTGACCCGATTTGAACCTACCGGAGATTCTGGGAGTCCTTCGCGCTTGGCTTTCGGGTCGGACTCGCCTGCTGATGCAGACGACGCTAACAATGACAGTAGTCCTGTTGGTGAGTAGCACCTTGCGAGTTTCAGAGCTTGTTTATACTAGAACAGTGGCAGTAATAGCATGCTGCTGGTTCCATACCAAGTCATGCATGTGGCCTTTGCGTTGCAGCTACGGCATACGACACAGAAGCGCGGCTAAGCTAAGGTTACATTATCTCATTGGGTGTTTCTGAGAATCCCCCAAATCCGGGAGCCTGTCAGCATTCCCAAGAAAAGTGTCCACACATGGCTTGAGGCTGGATGTTTAGGGTACAGGGTTTGCTGGAGCTGCACAGTTGAGAAGTATACTTGCACAATCTTGCACACCAACCCTTCAGCGACAACCAAATGTCGTGCAGAATCTTGCAGACGAGACGTAGGAAGTGCATATCTGCTCAAAGGCCACGGGTATTAGCATGTCACAGAGCGTCGAGATCACTTTAAGGTGTGTAGGGCGAATAAAGCTCGTGTGCTGGATGGCTGCGCCCAACTACTGCTTCGTCTGTCCTGATTCGCAAGTTGAGCCATCTATAGATCTTAGGGGTGCAGTCTTTCTGATGTTGTTGAGAAGCATTAAGGTCTTACGGCTTGTTGGCTTCAGTAGTATTGGAAAGTACTTTGTACAACCCTCTTGTAAAGGTCTTAGCAAGTGCTATAGAACCCTTATGGAGACCAATAAAATCTCATAGAAGCAATGTAGAACTGCATGGCGACTAGAGATGCCAGATCTCTTGCACCGACAGAGTCTCACCCCTGCCCAGACCTCCTCCCGGGATTCTGGGATGCAGGCTTCCTCAAGCAAGGCATGGGAAAGACAACGATTAAATAGAAGAAGCTCCCGCCAAACATCTACTGGGTTTGGGGTGCAAAGTTGGATTTACGCACTATGGAAGGCACTTCGCTTTCATAGTTTCACTTAATCTCCTAGACAAGAACTCGAAGGTCGAAGCTTCCGCGCAGCAGCACCGGGAACTCAAACACGAGCCGCAAGAACCCAGCAGTCCGTCAAGAGGCTGGAAGGCAATGCTACTGTTGATGGACAAAACCCTGCATGACCTTATATACCTAAACTATGGGATTTATGGCACTACACTATATTTGGGTCATGCAGAATTTTGTCCATCAACCGTATTTCTTCTCCTTGCACCCCCTATCCACGAGTAATTTCTTCTCTAAGCGAAGAATCTTTTGAGTGAACGCTGACATGCAGCCTTTCGATGCGGACCACCACGGAATTTGAGTTCAGGGATCGTCAAAGCCATTACCCAGCCTCGTCGAAGAAGCCTGCCTCACTTGACAAGTTTGACATGCTGCCACAGAACCTTGGGCAACCGGCCTAAGCACGAAAGTTGCCAAGGATGAAGGCAAATGTCTGCATACTGGCTAAGGCCAGAAAAAGATTGGCGGCGAGGGTTTTGATAAATGGACCCTTCCGGACAGGCTGCTTTAAAGTAACGGAGATAGGAATGCCCCTAGCATCCATAGCTCCAATGTAGCTGTCATACAGTGTTGCAGGCCACTCACCTAGTCAAGTCAGCTTGGGGCAGAGAGGCTATAGAAGATGAACGCCTTTGACTGACACTGTTGAGATGCCACCAATCAGCAAGTCGTGGTGCTTGCTTTGAAACTCCAAGGCGTGGCCAAGAAGGCCCGATTGATGTCTTCAGGTACCGGCTTCATGCGTTTACGGTCCTTTCTGAGGGCCGAAACTCGAAGTCCTCACCCCTCTCATAATCGAACCGCACACTTCATTCTCGTAGCTCCATAACCCACAGGACTGTACGAGTGACGATTCCGCGAGGTTGAGATATGGAATATGACGATATCAGAGCTCTCCCAGGAGATTGTGGCACTAACACCACCACGACTACTACTATTGCTACTGCTGCTACTACTAATGCTGCTGACCGCTGCTACTACTACACTGTGCCGGGAGTCGAGAACCGCTACTTCATTGCATCATCTTGGCCATTTTAGTGGGGGGCAACATCCCGTCATCTTGCACCGCTTGCACAACTTGCACCACTTGGCTTTAATAACAACTACCAAGACTCGGGTACCACTTGCCCGGCTTGGCGGTTCCACTTACCCAGCACACTGTGCTGCTGCTGCTGCTGCTGCTGCTACTACTACTACTACTACTACTACGACTACTAATAGTACGACGACGATTACTACTACTGATAGCACTGACACTGTAATCACTGATAATACGACGACGACGACGACTACTACTACTAGCACTGCCACGACGATGATCATTACGGAAATGATCATGGAATCAAATTTCAATCTGGACCATAGGCATAGTCAGCATCCAGGTATAGCTATGGCATTGCCAACCAATCAAATGCACCATTTCACTAAGATGTCACGGCAACAATGCTCACGAAAATACCGGTACCGACTCTTTAGTACGCAGTGCCACGGGTTAAAATCGCAGCTGCTTGCCTTTTCTTGCATGTCTGGGGTGCATGGTTGAAGGCTCACTGAAAGAAGCAACGGCGGACCCCATGCTGTGCTGCCAGCTGAAGATGGTAGCCTAATGTCGAAGAGCAAAACCCTCCACGCTGAAACTGATTGCAAAGTTGGAACCAAAGCAATCATGAAAACTTCCCCGCAACCTGAAGTCCCCAACATTCTTCTTAAATTCAAAACCCTAAACCCTTGCGAGAGCCCAAGCCCGGAAGCCCACAAGCTGGAAAGTTGCATTGCTGGAGGCGGCCGAGAGTCTCTGCAGAGCTTTGGAGGTTTGGGAAAGGTCGCAAAATGACACAGGCCAGTCTCAGACCAATTTTTAAGTGCCTGCTTGGGTTTTGGGTGTTTTAGGGCTTTGTGTTTAGAGTCTGCATGGGAGAGGTCCTATGAACGTCCCGCTCTTTACTGCAGGGTTTATGTCAAGGGTGTTTTTGTTGCAGGGACACTAGTTTAGAGAGGCACCCAGGGCTTGACGCCAGGCAGGCTCGACCCGGATCAAGGAAGCAACTGAATTTGTGTTGGTTTCACAGGGTGTGCTTCTCAGGGCTTTGTAGGAGTCTTGCGGTGGTTTTCATCGGGTTCGATGAGGGTTCGATGAAGTTAATTGAAGTTACCGTGAAAGCGTAAGTTTGTTGATTGCTACTTGCAGGTACATCCGCCATTTGTTTATCAATTCGATTCCAGTTAGCAAGAACTCGCCGGAAAAAACAAGATACCCTTATAAACCCTATGAAGCTGCTGCAAAAGCTTAAAAAATCGGCATCAAACTGTCTAAAGCCTTTTGACACCCTTCAAAGCCTTCTCGTGAACCCCTACGAAGCCCGTATCTTAGACCAGATCACAGACTCCACACTAGGATCGGCGACCCGGGACATTGCCGCCACACTGCATAGGAGCACGGGGTTTGCATGTTCAGAGATGTGTAAATTCTCCAATACCGAGCATTTAGAGTTAGGGATTACGGGATGTAAGTAAGTCTACAATAGTACGGTTGTTTTTTTTCCGTTGGGTACTGTGTGTCCAAAGCTCCCTGACTGTCAGTCCCGATAGAAAGGCTGGTTGTATTGCCCATTGAAAAACACTGCTGTCGAAATGCTTGTTCTGGATGATTGCTTCTGCTATTATAGGGGCTCTTCCAGTTGCTTCTTGTTTGCGATGATGTCCGAATTAGCTTGCATTCCTTCTCGGGACCGCATAGATCCTCCCGGGGTTCTGGGTTAAGACCTCCAGGTAAGCATGTGGGGGCTTCTTCGATTTGCGGGGTCGTCACACTGAGGAGCCCAGTAATCCAGGGGTCGGGTGGGGGGCATCCCTTGTGTTTTCTTCTGCGCTTGTGATCAGAAACCCCTCCCAAACAGATTGGAGGGTGAACGTATCAACTATTTTGGGCATGCAGGGTTTCTTTCAGGCTGCCAGAGCCACGAAACCGGAAGCCCTGAAGCAAATTTCTATAGCTCCTGCAATCCTTCACCTAGGCCCCTCAACCCGAAAACCCTGGTTCTTTACCCCGTAAGTCATATTAAATCCCTGGGACCCATAGATCGTCGAAAGCATATCCCCGAAAACCCCAAACTCTTGTTCCGAGTACTCTAAGCCTCACAGTCCCAAACCTGCTTACTTTTGTCGTCGCCAGCCTAAACTCGGAAGAACTTTAGCAAAAACCGACAAAACCGTGAAAGCGCAGTCTAGCTTGAAAAGAACCCTAAACCCTACACCCGAAACCCAAATAAAAATCACGCCCGAAAAGAACACCGAAGCCGCCAGCCTGGGGAACGTCCACCGTGGCCGACGAGATCCGGCAGCCGCGCAGCAAGCGCTGGACGGAGCCTTGCAGATCAGAGAGGCGCCCTTCTTTGCCCCCAGGGAGCCCAATACCCCTTAATTAAGGAATATACCTTAAAATCATAATATTAAGGCCCCTATAGTTTAAGGTATATTCCTTAATTAAGGGCTCTATTCGGTGATTAAGAGGGGGAAAGGGGTGTGGGTTCCCTCGATCAACAGGATAGAGCGGGGGAAGTTCTGGCTAGACTTGAGTCCAGTGGCAAAAAGGGAGACCTTTCCTTGGGGTTACGGTTTCGGAAGTTGTAGCAGCCGGAACGAATACGAATGCTGAACTTTTCCGGCTCCTCAGTACAGCTGTTGAGGCCCCTATATTGTGCGTATTCGGCTGAGGTGTTTGTCCCCGCAATATAGAAGAGTTCATAAAGTTGGAAGCTCAATGAAACCCCAAGAGCTCAAGAGGCCCGTGAAGGTGCAAAGACCCTAGACAACACGTGCACCCGACAGTAACCTTCTAAACCTCAAGCCCGGATTTCTGAACCCTGAACCCCAAACTCAGAATCCTGATGCCGAACCCCAAGACTCCTGGACCCTAAGCCCCTATAAGAAGAAAGTGTACCTGCCCACAGGCTACTCTGGGACCTGAGTGTGGCTCTCTGTATCGGCAAGAGAAGCGGGGGTTTTGGGCTTCCTGGATGCTGTTCCGTTTCATAGCCCACACAGTTGACCCCAAGCGATCGGATGCGCAACATTTTCCACGAGCACTGTATGATTTTATTTGCTGGGAGATGGTGCAGTTTGAGGCTTCTTTTCTGTTTGGGGCGTTTGGGTTTAGTATGCGGCTTTAAGGGCTTTCTAGGGTCAGTATATTATATAGAGTCTGCATAGAGCTTAAGATGCTTGTCTTTCAGTAGTTGCTGTAGTCCAAGGACCCACCTTGGCAGAAAATGCTCTGCTCCACACAGCGCCTGCGGCCCGCGGCCGTTTCAGCTCTTGCTTCCGCTGGTCCGACGCCATGCCGGCGAAGCCAAAGACCGGCGGCTATGCCTCCGGGCAAGTCGAGGACGACGATGAGAGCGACGACAGCGACGAAGGCCAAAGCCGCGTGGACGCTGGCACAGGCCCCGATGCAGAGACGCAGCCGCAAATCAGCAGAGCATCTACGGCAGAAGCAAAAAGATACCTGCGATCGAAGCAGGAGCTCGTCTGCCGGCACAGAAGATACATGATTGAGATGCGTTTCTAGACACTGACAGTGGAACAGTCCAGCACGTGCTAGACAAGCCGAGGAAGAGAAGGCGCACTTCTTGGAAGTTTGCCTCTTGGGCTTGACTTTCAGGAGTGCTATACGTAGAGCCGAACAGGTTGAGCGAGGTGGCCGCTGTCCCCTAAGATCCCCATGCTAATCCCCTAAACTGAAAACCATTCTAAGCCCACCGAGGTTATTCGTTCATGGAGTATGGCACCGATGCCTACTACGACCTGGGCCGAATGCAGGAGACGGGACCGGAGTTTTGAGGCTCAGGGTTAAGGAAGTCTAGGGGGTTTAGGCGCGCAGTACTGCTTCTCAGCTGATCAGCAGAGTCTGAGTTCAAAAACGACGGTCTGACATAGGAGCCTCAATAATTACCTGCACTATCTTGGGACCCAAACACCCTATTCTTATTATTAAGGCCCCTATATTAGGCTATTAGGCGTTAGGAGTCAGCTCCGCTGCGAGACTGCAGCGTCGAATGAAGGACGCTAGAAGCCAGGAGCCGAGGCGGCATCCAACAGAGCTTACACCCCAATATGTAAACCTTAGTAAATTAGAATAGGGTTTGGGGTATCTTAAACTAAAACTATAATAACGAGCCCCCCAAAGCCTTACTAAAATTATTAAGGCCCCTACATCAATCACGGCCCCCCGAACTCCCAAAAGTTTTTCAGAACGCTGAGCCGTAAGAATCGAAACTAAGCCTAGTTGGACGTCTTGCCTGCATTCACGACTGCCCTGTGCGACCGCGCGAGTCGAAAACCCCAAACTGCCCCGCGAAAAGTGAAGCCTAAAGCATAATATCAGTAGAGCCTATACCCAAATCACCCAGTGATGCTTTTTCCTGTTTCCGGAAAGGTTACATATGCAGTTGTACTGCAAGCAATCCCAAAAATCTGCGCTCAATCATCGAGGCCCCTACATTACAGAACACCCGCATATCTCCACACCCACCAACCGTAAGTCTAGGAAGATATCTGAATTCCCACCTCGCACCGCGACCCGCATACCTGAACAAGAGCCTAGGGTTTTGCCGTAACGGGGCTTTGGGACTTTCCTTGAGATGCATAGGTGCTCTCTCGGGTCTGGTTCTTTCAAGGTTGGTTTTAGGAGCTTTCGGTTTACGGGGCTTGTAAGGGTGTTAAGCATGTGCCCAACACCCTAAATCGCAACACTGCACTTCCACAGAAGTCAGCCCAAGCCGAGCAGGGTTCGGTCGGCTGCAGTTGTCATCCTTTCTTGAAGGAATTGGGTTTCGAAACTTGCTGAGGGATTCAGGGTGTCGGAATTCAGGACTTGAGGTTTGCGGTGGGGGGGGCTCAAGTGGGGCGGGGGGGGGGTGTCCACGAGCTTAGTGATGAGATGTTGGCGAGATAGAGAAAGTCTCAGGCTGCACTCTGAAGCTCTGAAGCTTGGGAAAGCATCACATGGGGTGGGGGGGGTTGCCCCTCAGTTTGAGAACTCCACAAACCATTCAGAGAATCCCACGCCAAAGTGCAAGATCCAAAGACCCCAAACCCATAAGCCTTAAGGCCTTTTTCACCCGTGACCTTAATCCCTACAGACGACTCCCTACTCGTCAGAGGCAGGGCACCTCAACATGGACCCTGAATACCTTCAAGAGCACTTAGGACAAGTACGATCTGGAATTCTGGTATATCAGAAACCCCTTACTACATCTTCCACTTGCCCGAGGAGACCGTTCAAAGCTTAGACAAGGCTGACATGGCCATGTGGAAGATCGATCCGTTGGCGTCCCACGGCAGAAAACTACGGTGCCAGGACCAAACCTGCCTTAACCTGAAAAGTAAATTCCAGCCCGGAGGCCTTAAACCTAAAACCTTTCAAAGGATCGAGTCTTCGGGAGCCTTTCTGGGTACCTAAAGCCATCCAAACGCCATGATCGAACCCCAAACCCCTGAAACCTAAACTGGGAAACCGTACAACCATAAACTTGTGCATGAAGCAAACTTCACCCAGCTGGCTACTTAGACACTCAGACGTAGTTCGCGGGCTGCTTCCGGAATCGGCCAAAATAACTTATCCCCAAAGAAGCAAGTACATCAATTCAGGTTGTAGGCTGTGAAACGGGAAAGAAGTTGGATTTGGCGTGTTGATAAGGGCATTGCGGTGCAGCCACACTGTTTGTGCATTTTAGAGTATACCTCTGATGAAAAACCCTCAAAAAAATATTGGTAATTGTACCGGCTTCGTAGGATCTCAAACCCAAACCCTGTCTTAACCACTAGGGCCCAAATGTTTCAGAGAGAGCACAGTCGGCCCAACAAGCACCAACACCGTACTTCAAGGGCTCTCGAGGCGTGCCTTCAGGGTTCTACAAGGGTTCGACGGCGGGCCCTCGCGAAAAATGTTCCTGGGATTAGTGCTGGCTCCTAGGCTCTGAGGCTTCATTGAAACCCGAAGCCCGAAAACCATGGATGTAGACCCTGATGAATGGTTCCGCTTACCCCCCCCCCCCTGCTCTGTTTGACCATGTCTTTAATAAGGGTCGAAATGCCAAGGACCTCGAAGAAAGAACGAGCATTTGTAAAGCGACCTGAAGAGTCAGTAATGCTATTTTTTAGGTAGGTGTCTCAGGGGGGTTGTTTGTCAGCACTGGTTGCCGGAGCCGTTACATCTCTTCATGAAATCGTGCAATACCCCATGACCCCACGCCAATAACCCTAAACCCTAAACCTTAATATTTAAGGGTCCCATCTTATGAGTCCTGGGTACGTCCTGCAAAAGCCAAGCAGCCAACCGCGGTAAAAGCCCTACAACAGAGGGACCCACAGTTTGAGAATCATGGGATCGGGTTTAGGGCAGGTGAATGAGGGGTTGTTCGTCATTTTGGAATAATCTTAAACTGAGGGTTATCCCACTTACAATGTTTTTTGCAAGCTCCTTACGAAGTCTCCTGGGGCTCATCCGCATAACATACAGTAGTGGAGAGGATGGTGCTGCCGTTATTTGTTTGCGAATCATCATGACAACAAGAGCACGAGGTGGTACAATGAGATCCAGAAGCGTGTGCAACTTGGCCTTCGGTGTGGGCTTAGCATGTGGGTCTAGCGCTTCGAAGCACTGCGGATAGGGTCCATGCTTGAATTGCTCGCAAGAAATGAGAGAGAGAGAGAGAGAGAGAGAGAGAGAGAGAGCGCGAGCGAGCGCGCACACAAAAAGGGAGCACGGGTTATGTGACAGCTGGGCCAGCTTTGAATGACTGGCTCTGGGTCCTTCCCGGATGCCTAGCCATCCGAGAAGATCAAGACCGCGCCCAAGGTTCATCAAACACCTCACCCATCCAGCGACCAAAATCCCAAGCCAGAAACCAAACCCGCCAAAATCTCAAAGCCAAAGGCCCAAAATAGAATCCTTAACCCGGAAAGTGATGAACGATGCATGTACAGCATTGAAAAGTGGGGTTGTCGAAGCTTGGCCTTGTTTTCAAAAGGTATCTAAGCCCAGGGCAAAATGTGAACCCTGAACCCCAAGCACAGTCCGAGAGTATGCGGCAAAAAAAGCCCATGCACAGATCCTGCCAGCACTGCATAGACTGGAAGCCTTGACAGCAAAAGCCTTCCGCTGTCAGGCAGATCAACCTGAACTTCTTGCAGATGCTTCCTAATCCAGACGACGCCTGCCTATGTTCTGGTAATCGTGTGGTTCTTGGGGTCCTGCTGCTGATGGAAAGAACTCTGTGGTACTCCTGATACGAAGAATGTGATAGCTCTTATGATCTAGCGGTCTAGCGTACATAAGGAATGTGCAGGCTGGAGGTCATTTAGATGAAAGGCCTCTAGCTTTCCATTGGTACGGAGTTTTTGCTGCATGGCAAAGCCTGTGAGGGATCCTCGTGCTTGTCCTGGTGTCGTGGTCGTGGTGGTCGTAGTCGTCGTTTTGGTTGTCATCATGCTCTTCGTGGTGCTTCAGTACTAGACGTCTCTCGTCCCGCTCGCTGCCCCATCTAGAAGAATCAGCCCTAGCATTGCAGGAGGCAAATCAGCCCCAAAACCGACAAGCTGCTGCTGATGGACAAACCCTTCGCTACTACCCGTGCGGCTCTAGATACTCTATCAATACTATTTTTAGGGGGTTCCTTAATTTAGTTTTACTATAATGGGCCCCAAAACCCGATTCCAATTACTAAGGCCCCTATATTAGTGATAAGATACTCAATGTATGTATGTATGTGTATATATATATACACATAATATAGGAGCCTTTCTAATTACCAATAATCTTTTGGGGGTTCAAGGTGTTCGAACCCTGTCAACAGAGTCTCTTCTGAGCACTGGCCCAAGCACTTCAGGCCTTTCTTTCAAACGCGAACAGTAGTTGCGAAGAAAACCACACGACTTGTGTGTCTGTGTGATTAAGTAAACGTGTGTATGTGTGTGTGTGTGCGCGCACATGTATGTGTATGTGTATATACATGTGTATATATATATATATACAGTATAAGTTCATATACATACATATATATATATATATGTAAACACAGAGGTATGTGAAAGTTCTGCGGGCCTCGTGGTGTTCAGTCCCAGGTTTGCGGGGCAGATCTCGGACGGCAGGCATGGCAGCTCGTGACCCAGGCCGGATCTGAATTTCCGAATCCTTCATAGAGAAGCCTAGGTACTTAATGTAGGGGCCTAAATAATTATCAATACTAGTTTAGGGGGCTCCTTAATTTAGTTATTGTATAATGGGCCCCAAAACCCTATTCCAATTCTTAAGGCCCTCATATTGTTCATACTCTTCTGTTGGGCTACTTTTTTATAACACGGCTTCATGATGCCCCGAATCTAGTTGTTCGGGCGCCTGCCTTAGGCTTCGGGTTCTTTGGATGTCTGTTTAGGGTATTGTGGCTGTCTTAGATCTCGGGTTTGGAGGCTGCGTTTAGGGTTTCGCGGGTTCCCTGTGGTTTTGGTGGACGGGGTTGGGGCTGCGTGGGTTTCGATTTTGTTTTTGGTTGTCGGTTTGGCGCTTCCTAAATTTAAGTTTCGGGCTCAAGTTGCGAGACCCAAAGTCCTAAGCCCTGAACTCGCAACGCCTCAAACTACAACCCTTAGGGTCCCTAACCACTAAACTCTGCAGAGACTTTGGAAGTTTTCCATCCGATGATGTGGGTTTCGGATGTTGGGAGTTTTTGTGTTGATTTCGGTTTTCTGTGTTTGTCGATTATTCCGTCGGGTTCCTTAGGTGGGGCTGAGGCTTCGGGGGAGGCCCTCAAAGGAGCCCTTGTTCTAATCAACAAGTCCCAATCCCGCGATACTCTCTGATGCCGTTAATCTGAACGGTTCTGCGTTTCTTCTTGAGCATGCCTGAGTTTCACGGCAGTCCCTTCATTCGGGGGTTTTGAAGCTTTTGGCCGGATGGCTGAACGCCCTCTTTATATGAAGAACATCCCCTTTAGAGGACACCACAGAGGTCTGGTAGAATTATAAATCGTATGTCCAAAACAACAGCAAAGATGACTTCATATTGTGGTTTCAAGTATTTGACCGTAGACTCGCCGAGTGCTTTGAGGTGCATTGCTTGTATATTTGGAGGGTTCTGCAGGTGTCATTCCGGATCTTTGCATAGTTTGGGTTTCCGAAGCGTTTGGGGACGTTCCGGGCTTGAAGGCCTTCTGCAGTCTGTAAAAACTCCGTTCCCTACGAGGTGCCCGAGGGTCATCGCGTGGCCAGCAGGAACTCATCGAAGGTGCTGTGCTCAGAGAATCCGGATTATGCTATAAGTGGGTTGTAAATAACATAACCCCCCTGTGATCAGAGCTTCCAGGGCCTCGGGAGTTCTGGACTTTGGAGTTCAGGTTTGGGTTGCATCAGAGAGGACTCCGAACGCATCTACCCTGAGGTTACCCAGTCCCTTGAGCTTGCAGGTACAGCAATTTCATTTAGGGGTTCAGTGTCTGTAGACCTGATGCTTTAGGTTTAATTTCAAGTCCAGCTCATGTTCAATTTCTTTTCTCGACTCCCACAAGGTCAAAGCCAGGCGGATGATCCAGGAAGTAGGCGACAGGGCCCAATGCTGCGCAGATGGAATGCCTTCGCCCTGTCCCTTTCTGAAACCATACAAACCCGTACCAAATCCTGCAAGGGCCTTGCAAAGCCGTATAAAGCCGTTTTCAACATCTTCCTTACACAAACCTTGTAAACCCGCCTACCGCCCCCCATAGAGGATCCTTAAGGGGTGCTCGGGCTCCTTAGAGAACCTTTAGGCGACTTTGGAGCCGGGGGGCTTTCCGGAGAATCAGGAATGGGTTCCCCTCACTCAAACATCCCATATCTTAGGGTGATCTGGATTTTCGGATCTTCCGTCTTTGTTCATGTTGCTTACGAAATTTGCCTAAACTAGCAATACTAGCAGAGATGTTACTTGATGTATATATCCATTAGCAACTCCTGCAACATCAAACAAAGCGCCGTCTTGAAGTTTTCTCGAGCCCCTATGAAGCCGTATAGCACCTTCAAACAACACTTTCATAAAAGCCTTCATGATAAATTACAGAAAGCCTTCATGCCCTAAGTCCTATTCCTAAGCATCACAATGCAACCTTGAAGCAAGAAGACCTAGTCCGTGCAGGTGCGATCGACTCTACGCCAGTTTGTGCGTGATTGGTCCAGAGAGGGCCAGGCCGCATCTTGGCGCCTTTTTTTTGGGTGGGGGGGGGAGCGTTAGGGTTGTTGGTTGGCAGGGTTTCTCTCCAGAACTCAGGATTTCAGTCTTCTTGCGGAATTTCGGAGTGGTTTAGGCCTGCGGACACCAGTCTGTAGTTTCTCCGCGGGCTGGCGTCCACGCAAGGTCTAGGGCATCAGCGATCAGAGTTTAGGGGTTTAGGGAGCTGTGTAAGTGTAGCACTGGGGAAAGGCCAGAGAACGTGTGTTTGCCCGGATGGCGGGCGGATGCGTCAAGCTTCTATGCGTGCTGCCACAAACAGCTTCAGTCGTGGTCTTGGGGCTTCGGGCCTCTCACAAAATCACAGACTAACGATGAGCAAAACTCCTTGCATGAGGGGCCGCAGTAAAACTATCTGGTTGGTCGACTTGTAGAGGATTTGCAAAAACAGATGTTAGGCGCTGGGATGTAGAGCTCAGGGCTCAGAGCTCGAGGGCTCTAGGGCGGGTAGGGCGGTTATGGCTTAGGTCTTTTGGGTTTTCAGAGTTCAGCACTTAGAGTCAGCCTAGTGCTCAGAAACCAGACAGTTCTGCGCATGCTGCGGTCAGTCAGCGTTCGTTCGACATGAAGTCGGACTCGGACGCAGGAGGGATCACAGAATGCTGAACACCCTGCACACCTAAACCTCGGATATCGTCAGCCTCCCTGGTTCATGGCCATACCCAGAGAGCCCCATATTCCTTAATCCGGCTCAGGAGAGGTAATGTAGGGAGCTAAATAAATGCCAATACCATTTTTCTGGCAATTGTAGTATAATGGGCCCCAAAACCCTATTCTAATAATTATTAAGGCCTCCATATGAACTCGGTTCAGGAGAGGTATCTTCAAGCGGGAGTCGGGCGGCTCTCTGGGCACACTCGCAATGCTAAGGGCTAGCGACCTTGAGCTTCAGCCCATTTCGCAAGAAGACGTAGTGGACTAGGCCCCAAAAGCCTGAAAGCCCTAAAGGATCCTTTATCGCTCAGTCCTCAAAGCCCGGAACTGCTATAAAGCAACAGCTTTAAAGTCTTCATGGCTCCATTTCAAAACCTTGTTCCCAAACCTAAACCTTGCAATTCAGGAGAGGCAAGCCTCTTATGGGCCACTGGTTTCAGCTCTTCTGTGTCTCGGTCACTTTACGGGATACGGGGTCGAAAAAACTAGTAGCAACATCCCTATAGTCCCTATGAAGAAGGTACGATATGCACCAAAATCCGGTTCTAAAAACTAGGCCCCTATAGTACGTAGGCATGTTTTTTCTCGCCACGTCCGTGGGCTTCGAGGAGGTCGGGTTACCCATGAGGGTTTACAGGCCGCGAATACGGTTTTACATGGATTCAAACGAACCTATGATGACTTTTGTTGTAAAGGTGTTCTGCGGGTTTTCCATGGCGGTTTACACACAAGGGTCCGCAGTATTGACGATCCACTTCTGAACGGATATGTCTCGTGCTATAGAAGCTTACCGATACCATTCCTGTTGCGCTCTTCATTATGACTGCACACTACACATTATTAAGTGATACCAGATTATCCTTATACTTCAACCACATCATCCTAGGTGCTAGGGCAGGTTGACATGAAGCTCAGGGTCACCTTCGCTGGCTGTTTTTTTCTTCTCCAGGATTCCAGGGTCCCTTCTTGGTGGTCCCCGCATGAAGGGATGCTACTAATCGTTTATGGTCTACTTGGAGGATCATGGGACTTAGTAAGTAAGGTTATAAGTCCCTTAACTGGGATTATAAGTATGGCTACCCTAATTATCACCCTACTTACTAAGGCCCATGATCCTCCAAGTACAAAAGGGTGCTCTACGTCCTTCACTTCCAAATACTGGCCTGGGACTTCCTCGCCCGACACCCCTGCCCGAGTTATATCCTCCGGAAGCCCGGAGTTCCGCACTACGGCCACTTCACACATCCTTTCAAAGCCTCTTTGGGGTTGTTCGGCGGCCACGAAGGAGTGTAAGGGAAAAAGAGAGAGAAGGGGAGAGAGAGACAGAGAGACTGAGAGTCGCACAACGTGCAGCCTACCTGCAGTCAAGCCTGGTCGCCCAACGACTGCCCACAAATTCCAAGGCCTTGTCAGTATGGCATACATGGTTTAACTACATTACATTACATATTATGGAGCCTTTTCAGTATGACATACATGGCTTAACTACATTACATTACATATTATGGTAATTCGGTATACTTGACAAGGGACCCACAATTATCTGGATGCCTGTTCACGCTTGATAGGAGAAGGAAAACAGCTCTGCTGACTTCCCTGCGGCCGTCCCACTTGAACAACGAAATCATGACCTCCAAAACGACGGCTCCCATGGCCCAACGGCGAGGAACATATCGAGCATGTGCGTGCGTGTGTATGCATGCATGCATGCTTGCTTGCATATATGTATGTATGTGTGTATGTACATACATAATACATTTACATATACATATACCAATACATACATATATATATGTATATGTATTTATTTATTTATTTACTTATTTATTTATTTATTTGTTTATTTATTTATTTGTGTGTGCGTGCTTGCACACGGACATGTTTCAGATACGTGTATGTGCGGTTTCAGAACCCTTTGGCAGCATGAGCTCAGGAGACACCTTCCTCCCAAGGGTCAGGCCAAAGCGCCGGCTGTGCTTTGTCCGGGCTGCGGGCGCCTCTTCTTGTTTAGGGCTGAGGGTATTTTTGTGGGTTTAGGGGTAGGTTTCGTGGGACCTACTTTCTGCATATTCCCCTTCTCCCTTGTTGCTTTGACCTGTGGCTGCTTGAGCCAGAAGGCGCGAGGTCATGCTTGAGGTACGTCGGTTCTCTAAGTTTTGGTCCTTTAAGGAAACCGAGACCAGGACTTTACAGGGCCTTTTGGTCTTTTCCGCGCAAAGCTTAGGGTCCTTCATCTTGGCTTTGGTCAAAGGTGTCTTGGTGGCTTCTGCGTCATGCAGCTTAAGCAGCACCATCATCGACCCGAAAGCCCTTCGAGACTAACGGTTCCATTGGTCAAAGGGCCTTGCTTTGTCTTCCTAAGTTCCGAGCAGCAGGAGAAGACGAAGATCTATACTTCATTGTCAGGGGATTTTGGTCCAAGTTATGAGACCCTAATAACACAAAGACAAAAAGCACAAGCCATCAGTGCTGCCACCTCTCAGACCTGAGAGTTGATTTGCTTGCCTGGAATCTGCTTGCACCGGACTGGGTGGTTCGAAGGCAATCGGCTCTGGAGCAAGAGCCCTTAACAGACTGCATAGAAGAATCCAAAGACGTAGCCTCACGTCCCTAACCGAGAGCCCTAGACGAAGCCCGAAACCCTAAACCCTAAACCCTAAACCGAAAGCCCTAGACGAAGCCCGAAGACTAGGCTGGCACGACTTCCCTTCGACTTGGTCCGCCTGGGGTATGCAGCCCAGGGCCGCTTTGCCTTGTTGAAGGTGCGTCGTGTGACTTTTCATTTGGGGTTGGGTTTAGGGTGTTCGGGCTTGAGAGGAAGACTAGGAGCTGCCGCGTGGAACATGAGTTTGGGAGTCGCAGCTCCAAGTTACGAGGCAGAAGTTTTGTTGATCAAGCTTTCACGGTGCGCACCTTGAACCCGTTCGACCTTCAGCCCATGTTGTCTGGGAATGTGGAACCGCAGTGGAGGCCCAAGCTAGCAGGACACTCACTCATTATGCAGACCCCCGCGCGGGATCGCTAGACGTAAGAGATCCTCGTGTACACCTTTCGGGCGTCGCTGATAGCACGCGAACATTTCGTTTCGGATCGGAGGTGTAGGGCTTGGGGTGTCTAGTCACGTCCGTGGGTTTCGCAAGGATCTCTTCAGCTCATCTAATTTGGTTCCCTCTGTTAGCTGGAAAATAAGACCGCCTGTCTATTGGGGACTCGGGACCCAAAGGTCAAGCCACTGTGGTTCTGCACGGATTCACAAAAGCTCGGCTGCCTCCTGCAGGGCTAAGGGCACAGCTTCTTGTAATTGGTTTTGGTCGTCGGAGCGTGCCAGTCCGTCGGAAACCCAAAACCCTCCGTCTTGTGTCCCAAACCCTGAGACCTTAAGTCATGAGAACCTAGACCGCAAAACCTCAAATCCGAAAGCAACTAAGCTCAGGTAACGAATTCTCCTATCACATGCTCTTGGGCAGCCACCTTATCTTGAACCGCAGCGATCGGGCCGAATGCTTCAACATCTTTCCTTTCGTGACCCTTGGCGGATTCATTGCTGCGGTTGACCACATTTGGGATGTAAGCGACAGTGGCTCAATATAGCACAAACAGCATGTATCTAAGTTAGTATGACTGATCTGCAAGCCTGCGTGTGCGTGTGTGTGTGTGTGTGCGCGCATGTGTGTTTGTCTATGCGTCCGTCTGTCTGTGTCCGTCTGTCTGTCTGTCTGCATGCACGCCTGTGGCGCACCTATGCGCCTATCTATGACATAGAAATCGAGATACTGGTGAGCTCATGTATGCACACGCGCTTAGGTGAAAATGTTTTGCGGAGCTCCTGCAACTGAAACACGATATGGAATCGTTCGACCTGAAGCTGTAGGTATTGGTTCGACGGTTTAGCTTTTGTAGGCTGAGTGGCTGGAGCTGTGAACCTTCAGCTTGCTTTGGGCACAAAGAAGACTACCGTCCTTGATTGTTGAGCTTGTGTTGACCAGGGAACTCACCAACCGGGAGTTCAGAAGACTAGACAAACTTGACCCTCGAACCATAAGCCTTAAACCCAAATTCTCAAATCCGGCACCCCAAGTTACTGCACGCTGCAGGGTAGGTTTCCCGGACTGAGGCTTACCCTAGCTAATCGGAAGGGCCGCTGGGACCATCTGCGATGTGTGCAGCTTGTCCACCCAGGGTTTGTGGGGGCTTCCTGGGTTTGGCTTAGGAGTCAGATCTTCAGCACTGCTTGAATCTTCAGATTCTGTTTCGGATGCGATTGCTGCCATATTCTTGCATGAAGGGTTTCTTACAATAAGGGTCCTGCCACCGAGCATGCCCTGCTGCTGAACATCTCCCTCGGCAAGCGAATGATGAATAGTTGGGCCAGGTTTGTTCTGTAATCTCCTCCATCCAGCAACAATGTTCGAAAGCTTGAGTGTTACATTTTATGCGCTGTCAGACACCTTTCTCACTTGTCTCGTCTGATGCCTGCAGTCCGTCATACATGATAATGCCGATCGTGCTGGTTAGGGCAAGCTTTCCCAAGTCGAAAATGTCCCGAACTCTAAAGGTTTAGCTGCTTAGCTTCTTAAACACTGTAGGACTACAAGGTTTGGGGTTTCGGGACATTAAACGTTACCCAAACCTCAAAGCTCATCGCCCCAGGAAGGTGCCGGACATCTGCCCATGCGAAGCGCTAGCGCCAACGGCGCAACTGTCAATGGCAGCAGGAGAGTTTGTGGAGGAGCGGGATCAGCGGTTCAGTTTGAGGGTTGAGGGTTACAGGCTTCACTATGTTGGGGGTTTCGGTGTTGGGATCCAGGATTTAGGGCGTAAAGTTTTAGGGCCGATAACATCCCCGTAGTCAATTCACCCCAAAACTCGTGTGCCGTTGACTGCGGTAGACTGAGCCAAACAACCCACACAAGAAACTGCGAGATGGGCCACTTCTTCTGTGAGTTGTGACAGCTGCTATCATCAGGGTGCATGGCGGTCTTTGGTATGTCTTGCAAGGGGCACTGAATGGGAACGGCGGGTTCCCAACACTCCCGATTGCAACCATTCGACCCACCAGGTACCCATGACAACGGCCTATGCGGCCCCCACGGCAAAAAGCAACTAAGATGGGTGCCTGGGATCACGACACAATCCTTGCACGGTAAAGACTCCCTCAGCCAAATCCCAGCCGCCAATCGAGAAGCGGTGCAGGTTTAGGCTTTATCGTTCGTGGGCCCCAGCCCCAAGTCCGGATGCCGAAAGGGTTCGTGGAAAGCCAACAGGTGTACAAGACACAAGCTGCTGAATGGGATGGCATGGCAACATGCTTTTTCCTCGCTGCTTGGCAGAAGGCCTTTGGGTTGTTTCGGCCGCAGATTTGCGCAGCACACACAAGGCCCTCTTAGACTCTTGGAGTGAAGCGGCCAAGACGAAGCCTCTGGCTGACCCGATTTGATTTAGCTTTCGGCTATACATTGCACTCTCAGTGTGATCATTGACCGAGGACACGGCCAAAAACGTGTTCATGTACATCCGCCTCATTGCCCACATCATGAGACCAGGTGGGAGAGGGCTGTGAACACAACGCACACAACTAAACAGCGAGGAAGCGCTCGTTTGGTGTGACATACCTGAAGCATATTGAGCTTGTACTTCTCGTCTACATTATGATAACTAGCTGTCATCCTGTTCTACTTTTCATACAAAGAGCCATGTCGTGTATGTTGGAGAAGAGGACCCAAAGGATGGGGAGCCTGTGCGATGTTGGGCATGTCAAGAGGCAAAGCTCCGCCTGGAGCTTCGATCACCTGCAAGCGAGAAACCGAACAGCCCGCCCTCTTCTGCAGGGAGGATTGATTAGAGGGCTAGAACCTGTTGTGTTTTTGGTGCTTCGCTTTACAAAGGTGGTCGGTGCCTTTCTTTCTGCACATGTCATACAAGTCATTCTAGAAGAGAACCGCGACAGGCAGAGGTTTCTTCTCGGGGCCCGAAATGGCCGGAAGGGACCCCGAGTGTAGAAACCCCAACAGCCCCACAACAAGTAAATGCTCCTCAAGGTGGCATCTGGACCAATCTTGGTCCGCTGCACCTTGACCAGCACAGCAAACTAATCCTTTCGGGTCTTGGGTTCACTAACAGTTTGGGTCGCGTAAATGAAGGGTTGGCATTAAGGTTTCATTCGGCTTGGTAAAGCATCTGGGAAGTTTTAAGGTGTATTGGTACTTGTGACTTAGGCGACATTTCAACCTAGGCTCCGATAATTCGGGTTTTGTTTGATTTAGGGGCTCGGGGTTTGGGGTGTTTCACAGTGGAGAGGGGGACATGCATGGACGTAGCAAGCCAACTGCCAAGGCTATATCACTATGCAGATGCGCCGAATGAGATTTCGATCGAGCATCTCGACTGCATCCATTTCTTCGTCTCCTCTGTGGCATGCGCATGAATCGCTCGATCCCGCGGTACAGCCGACTACTGGCCGGGTTTGCCCTTCGTAACCGGAGCTCTTTGACGATGTGCCCTCGGTGTGTTCAAGAACACCTGCCCCGTCGTAGGCGGAGGGAGGGAGAAAGGTGACCATTTTGACATGAGATCCACCCGTTTGCAGCAACATAGTTCCGATGGTGAGTTGCGTTAATCGTTGCACCGTGTCATGAGTTCGTGGTGATTTTTCACGACAGCACGTCTGCGAAGGCCGAACCAACCCGCAGACCTTTCACTAGTTGTCAACTTGTGGCGAAGTGGCTTCTGCAGTTTCTTTCCGCAGAGTGACGCCGTTGCGACAAATCGACGACGTCTTGTCAGTTCAGTTTCTCATGCATGTAGGATTCCCTCTGGCTTACAAAGCCCACGCAGGGTTAGCTTCGAAAACATCCTGGAACCCTAAACCTTCAAAACCCTCAGCTCAAACCCCTCTTAAAGTCTGGGGTACCTTGTTCAGGGGCCCTTGACCCACACAGCTTCTGACATTCTCATGTCAACCCCAGGTGATGAGAAGCCGAATCGGCAACAAGTTGTCATTGTCTGAGGCTCAGCTGGGAGGAAGTCAAACCGGAGATTTGCAAGTACTTCGACATCCTCGAGGAGATGGCGCATGTGTAAGGCCCTGTCGAACCCGCAATGCCCTATCAGCTGTCAACCCAGAACGCCTGAACCTGAACCGTCCACTGACCGAAGCATTGCAAGCATTTCAGCAATGTCTTCTCTTGTGTTGATGTTGTTTACCGCACCAGTTGTCTGATTTTGGGACAAGCCAACAAAACAATCCTGCAAAAACACAAACGAAGGCCCCAAATCTTGTACCGCAAACCCTAGAGCCCTAGACCCTTAACCACCAGAACCTCGGCTGGCTGATCCGAGTGTGCGAGGCGGAAGCCCGTGGAGCCAAAAACCCCGCAACAGTTGACTTTGTAGACTTTTGGGCTTTATCCGCCCATCTTCGGCCGGTGCACGGCATATGAGGCCTATCTAACTTGAGCAGGATTCGAGGGCGACTTGCCTATGGGCCTGGGGAGGTATACCGACATTGCACGACTAGTTCTTTCTTGAATGTCTGTTGCGGCACAATATCCTCAACTGTCAAACCTGAAACCCAAAACTACGACCCCAAAAACCTTTCGAAGGAGTCCGAGAAAATTGCGCGGTACACCGGCAATGCAGAGGGCCTCAGCGTCAACAAGCACCCGGGACCCTTTTCGAGAGATGATGCAAAGGGCTAACTAACATAGAGGATTGAATCAATTGCCAATCAGATTCGGGTCCCCTGTCGCCCCTATTCAAACATGCTCTGACACAACCCAAGAGCCTTTCGGCTTTTTGGGGCTGTAGCCTTGCCGCAAGAAGAACTTCACCCCTGTCCGGCCACCGAACTCAACAACGAGATTTCAGTCCCTGTCGCATACCCAATGAACAAAGGAAATCGGCAGTTCGTACCGAGTTCCAACGGACGGCAGCACACATTCAGTTTCAAGGAGGGGTGAAATGGTAAAATTTGCAGGGTTTTCGTGGGTTTGGGGCTATGTAGGAAATTTGGTGGGGTGCCGAGCCCTGAACAGCACTGCAGGTATCGATGCATCTTCTTCGCGGCGAAACGGAACAACACGGCTGCCTCGGGCTGCTCCAACCCCGTGTTCTGAGGACCTTAGGAGTTAAGGTCTGAGGTGTCAGCGGGACGTGGACATGCCGCAGAAGAGTGAATTTTGGAGAGATACACCTAACAAACGGGACCTATTCTCCCTGAGCCTAGAAGTGCTCACAAGCGATGTACAAGCTAGTTCAAACTGCAAAAGTCAAGTGGTAACGAACCTGCGACATGAGCAGCAGCCGTTGTTTGAAAAGCACGTCCTGAGGACACGGCTTTCAGCGCAGCATTCCTTTCCATTTGGGGGCTCATGCTGCCCGTGTAGCCAGAGGACCCTAAGTTCTTGGGGCCTGAATCCTTTTAAGTCTTCACTCCCGGAAAAATCCGAATGTTTGTGCGTGTAGCCGGTCACGTCTCTGCTAGATAGGCATTCAGGCCGCCAGTGCAAAACGGCTTGTGCGCTTGCTCGTGTACATAGGGCTTTGTTGCACAGGCTGGGCTAGAATCCGACCACCTTCAGTGTACCAATTCCCGGGAAGTCCTTTGATCCTTCGTGCATGATGACTTCCCCCTGAAGCAGTTGACTGTGTAATTGGAGATTTCAAGACAGAACAATCCTTTTGGGTGTCTGAAGTCCAAGCTACACGTTCAGCGGCAAGGGCACTGAAAACCTTGAGCAGACTGGCTCCTTGTCTTCTTACGCTCCCACGACGTAGGGTTAGGCCCAGTCTTGAGGAGGCCACACAGAATAACTTTCCGGCGGACGATAGGCTATTCTTCTAGACCCATCCTTAGAACCAGCATTTAGGGAACTCATTTTCATGTGCGCCGCAGGCGTAAACCAGTGATAAAGTGTCGGCCCGTGGGGAATGCGGCCCAAGACGAGCAACATATGGCCTCGGCCGTTCATCTTGCTCGATTATCTCCCCTGTGTTCTGCAGGTCTTATGATCATGTTCCCGGGCAACCCATGATGAGCTAATATATCCTTAAGTCACACTCAGGCATCCAGACACTGCGCGAACGCGACACTGCTGCTCGGCCGCAGCTTAAAGTCGTTGGGGATTCTCGAACTCGTAGCAAAAGTCTTGCAAGGGGCTGAAACTGCCTGCAGATTGACTCGACCACGAAGCCGATTCGGCCGTAGGTGGAGTTGCTCACCTTTCTCTGAAACTGCTCCTAAAGCTTTAACTCTCTCCCGAATCTCCAATTCCAGAAACTCCCCTCAAATTTGCCCCTGCAAGAGACTCACTCGAAGCCTGAAGTTGCAAACTCTCTGGGGCCGCCACAGACCGCAAGCATGCTAAAACCCACCACCCGAAGCTCGCTAATAGCCCGTATCGGAAACCCTAGATCCCGAAAGGCACAATGACATTGCATAAGGGACTTGATTATTGGCACGGGATTTTGGGTTTTGTGTGTATATATATATATATATATACAGATATCGTAGAGTTGGAGAGGGCCTTTATGAGGGGAGTGGACTGCTAAGTTTGGAGAACTTCGGTTAAATCGAAACCCCAAAGCCGGTATGAGACTCGGGTGTGGATTCGTGCCTGCCTGTGCGAGTGCGCATGTCGAAACCAGTCACAGGGACCCAAGGCCGAAATCTCACCATGCCACCACCCGGCGACCGCAAACCCACGCAAGGCCCGGAAGCCTAAACGCTAAAGTGCACAGAAGTCGGAAAGGAGTCAATTGAAGCCCTGCACCCTCAAGCTGGAACGCTAACATCTCTGAAGATCTGAACCCGACGGCCGTAATCACAGATCAATCGAATCTGCTACCATTATCGAGTATTTTTTGGTTCTGAAACCAGAGCAAACGAATAAAGTCAAAAATGTCAGTCCCTAAACCCTAAACCCGGAACCCTAAACCCTAAACCGTGGAGAACAGTATCGTGGTGGACCTTGCCAGGCTTGTCTGAGTGTGAGTGTCAAAAAACCGTGGAGAGAGAAGGTCTTGGCTTGGTCCTCGCCGGGCTGGGGGAACGCTCTCGAGCACTCCAGGCCTCCCCGACCTCTTGGGTTCGATAGCTACCTTAACCCCGGGGTTTAGGGTTTAGGGTTTAGGGCTCTATAAATTCCCATAGTAGGGTTTATAGTAAGGACCTACAAAAATGCAAGGTTTAAAGGCGGGTTTCACAATGTGGGTTCGACCTGTTTGCGGAATGAGGAGACTTCCGGTGCTTTTTTTGTTTCACAGATCTCTGGACTGAATAGGGTTTCAGTGTTTCGGTTTGGGGATTGTTCAACTGCTTTCTCAGCTTTCGTAGTCTGGCAGGCTATAGAATCATAAGGTCAGGTCTTCTATCAAGGTTTCAGGTTCAGGGCTTTGGCTTCAGGGATTTAGGGTTCTCGGTCGAAGCATTTACGGCTCCGCAACAAGCAAATGCTCGGTCATCGGCATCGTGGTACTAGCTTCTAAACAGACACGCTGAAAATTTCCGGGAATGAAAACACGGGGCCGGCATTGTTGGTGGCATCGTGTCAGAATTGGTGT